CCGAAGAATTTTAAAATAACCGAGTTACGGAAATGAAAGGCAGCGTTTGATCAAAGGCGTTTAATTTAAAAAAAAAAAAGAGAGAATCAAAAAATAAAAATGAAAAAATTCAAACGAAAATAAAGAAGAATCCGCATGTCAAAAGAAAAAAGAAGAGACATGGAATTTGATATTTAAATGACGTCGCGTGGCGGATTAGTAAATGGAGATACGAATGAACTTAAGCGATGTGGAGATAAAAGTGTACATGAAATGAAAGCTAATATCTCTACGAGAGAAATAAATGCACACACACGCGCACACCGTCTATTCTACACCAATGACATGATCCGAGAAAACGATCCAAAAATATATATATATAAAAAAAAAAAAAAAGAAAAAAAAATGATAGAAACGATCCATAAAATGATCCATGAAACGAGAATTCACTAGGACTCACCTGTTCTTTCAGCATAACCGCCTGCTGCCGCTTCAGCTCTCGTTCCTAGGAAATCACAGAGAATATGCTCGTGGTCATTTTTTCTCTCGTTCGTTATACATAGTTCTTCTAAAAAGCGACTAACGAAGCCGGAGAGGCGCGCGTAGTATTTTTACGCGGGACAGGGTGAAAATTGAACGAACGAATTCGACGAAGGAGAAAACTCGCAACAGCGTGATCGTTTAACAAGCAAAGGGGGCTTCACGCTATGCGCGCGCGCGCGCGCGTCTCTCGTACGCAGATTGATTAAATTCAACGACAAATTAAATTCCATTTTTGAGAACAATCTTCTCACCGGTATGGAACGCCATTCGTTCCGACAATTAACAATAATTGATAATAATTCATAGTAATGAATAATAATTAGTAAGAACGGTTAGCTTTTCGACGCGAGAAAGGCGGGAATAAGAAATCGGTGTAACGATTTCGCGAGGATCGAGAAACGAATTGGAAGTCAATTTATCGCCAAATAACGTGTATACCTGGAATCGTACGAATTTCGCAGGTTCCAGGTAAATTTTTATTCGAACAGTAGACGAGGAAATGTGAAATGGAGTCATAGTACAGAGAGAAACCAGGCTACGTGTAACAACGATTTTAGGATTACCTGTTGCTTCCGTTGTTGCTCTTCCAGTCGTATCTTCTCCACCTCTTCCTGCCGTTTTTTCCGAGCCTGCGCACATGCCATATACACACGTCACTCGCATCCGTCATTATTTTCGAAAGGTCAAAAGCTTACACAAATGATTTCTCAGTTTTCTTTTGTCTTATTCTTTTTTTTTCTTTTTTTCTTTTTGCATTTCTTTTTATCATTTATTTATTGAACTTTTTCTTTTTTCTTCGACTTAATAATATCGCGGAGGGGAAGTTCGCCGCATCAGATTCACAGATCGTCCATCTTTTCTACCATTTCGACGATCGCGCGAGATTCACCGATTTCCATCGCGCGTTACGATACACCGCGTCACCGATCGAGGAAATTTCATTGGGCTGAGAGAGTGAAAAAAAAAAGAGAAAAAAAATGGAAGAGAAATTATATAGGAGGTTCTGTCACATCGATCCTATTTTACTTCCGGAATATTATATGCTTCCCGAACGCTTCGCTTCTCCGATACCGCGTGATGCGCAATGCGTGGAATTGCGCTGTGGAATTCTTTTATCTACGATCTCTACGCTGCATGTACCGAAGGCCCAGATCCTGATCTCCGAACTATTCTTCCGAGAGTGATTCTTTTCGCGGGAAATCCGGTCTCCTCGTGCTTGCTCGTGATTCAAAACGCTACTGTGTACAAGCGAACGTAGCAGATTCGGTGGCGGGGTTAAGCGACTAATCTACCACATCTAAGTTCTAATTTCACTAATCGAGGCTTGAGATATGGTTATTCCGATCGGTTCCCCTATCCACTAACGAAAGGATCATTATTCTCCACGCGTAACACCGTCGATAATTCTTCTCGCCTCTCTCGAGACATGGAGACTCGCCGAGTTCCTTTGCACTGGTAAATTAACGAACGTAAAAATCGAGAAGGAAATCATGAACGGGATAATATTCGTAAGCCAAACGTCGGCTCGCGGTGAACTGTCGATATAATTCCATATAATGCGACGTAATTCGATATAATTCGATATAGCTCGATGGAATCGAGAGACAACGGAACGACGAAACAACGAGAACGAAGGGAGAGTGTACACAAAACGGTGTGTCGATGAGTCACGGATGTCGTGACTGAATCCCCCTTCACCAGATGTCCCCAAAACGAAGAGAAAGAGAAAGAAATACTGGGCAAAAATCGTATACGCATGCTATTCGTAGAAAATCTCGTGATCGAAAGAAAATAAGAAAACGTGATGATATACAGATAACGTCGAGAGAAGAGAAAACTGTAAAACAAAAAGAAACAAAAGAGAATGGAGAAAAGGGAAAAGAAACTGACGTACAGATAGAAAGAACTGCAGCCAAGCAGAGAAGTGAAACAAACCGACGTGTTCCGTGTTCACGTGGGGAGACCACGTGATCGCACGGATGTTGGAACGGAACGGAATGAAACGGAACGAACGGAACGGAATGGAATGGAATGGAACGACGAAACGAAACGAAACGAAACGAAACGAAACGAAACGAAACGAAACGAAACGGAACGGAACGGAACGGAATGGAATGGAATGGAACGGAACGGAACGGAACGGAACAAGGAAACAGAAGTGAAATTGGAGTTTTGTCGAACGAAACCAAAAGCTTCTCACCAACTACCAGAGAGAAAAAATATATAAACAACATATGAAATATATATTATGGATATATATATATGGATATATAAAAATGTATATATCTATGATAAATATATGTATATATAAATATGTATATTATAAACCACCACCATAATTTGTACAAGAAAAAAGACGAAAGACAAAGTAATAGAAAATCGAAGTGTTAAAAAGAGTAGAGAAAAACTTTCGAAGCGTTCAGAAGAAAAGAACGTGAAGAAGAGACGTGTGAGAGAAATTGAAACGGAGATAGAGATAGATAGATAGATAGACAGAGAGAAAGAGACAGAAAGAAACAGGAAAAGAGCGCATGCAGGAGCCAAGCAAATATACTCGCCTTATGTATTAATGCAGATATTACGTGATATAATATCAGTGTCGTATTAATCGCTGAAGCTGGTAATAATAAAAAGTAGAGTATTTGTTAATTAGCACGTGTGTGGAGTAGTAGCCTGTTTAAATACAGAGAGTCTTAATAGCTGTGATCGTGGCTGGTATTAAATACATAATAATTCATAATCACAATGGTAATCAGAATAATGGCAACAGTGATAATAAGAGCGGTAATTATAAACAGAGCGTACGATTAATCAAGTAGATAATATTACATGTTCCACGCGACAGCGTTTTCACGGCTTTAATAACAGAGGGGAGAGTACGACGAAACAAAAAGAAAGAAAAAAAAAATAAAACAAAGAGAAAATCGAGAAAGAAGGAAATTCAAAAATAAATAAATAAAAAAAAAAAAAGAAATAAAATGAAAAATACAGTGGAGCGAGAAGAAAAAGAAAAAGCGCTTGATTTGCACGGGCAGCGGTACTCGATAATCGGGTAGAACACGTAAAAATTTGAAAAAAAATATGGCATGCTGGATAATCATGTAGCTAGCTGTTATTCTTGTATATATAGTGACAGGAGAAGCTAGGCACAGGATAGCATTGCGACAGTCGGTATTACAACTTGTTTAATTTGTCGTCATAATTCCGTAGTTATTATACATTCACGTGTAGTAAAAGAAAAAGAGGTACTTTATTGTCATCTACGCATACCGTGTTAATCTTTGTCACAATGTCGACGCCGATGCACGAGCCTCGAAAGTTCTCCCTCGATTCTTTCCATTGTGCCGACAGAACCGAGAGGGAAAAGTTCGACGATTCGCATCCCGCTGGCGTTTCCGAATTGAGCACCGTTTTTTTTTTTTTTTTTTTTTTTTCAAAC